TGCCTGCTTGCCTGGCTTCGTGCCCGTGCGCTTGCCTGCCTCGCTAGCTGGCCGGCTGGCTGTCTCTGTTTATATAGAAAGAAATTACGTAAATAGGTCAGTAGATAGACAGATCATACATAGACATCGTTCTTGGCTTGAAACGCTTGTGCCGCAACGCCTACTGTATTTTTCACGGCCAGGCTTCAGGGCTTCTACATGTTCTCGAGATGGCATGTTTCGGCCGTGTCCGGGGCTGCAGCCAGCTCTGTCTTCGAGCTCCCATGAAGGCTTCAATCAGCTTAGTGGACTGCCAATGTGAGCCTGCGATTTTGGGTGTTTCTACATGTGCATCCCAAGATGCTTGTGGCCTTCTGCGCTGCCGCGGCCCATAGGGGCACGGGGCCGAGGAGCTCATGGGCACGACAACCCATCAGGCGGGTGAACGGACCAGGGTGTCAATGCTGAGGCTGTGGAATGCGTAGGCTGATGCGGCCACTGAGGATCAGGTTGGGGGTCTGTTGACCAAAAGGCCGGTTCCGGACTGCTCTTACCAGGCTGCTGAAAAGTCCGTTTTCGACTGTTTGGGCTGTGGTTTGGGGGTTGGTGTTTGCAGTGCCCATGGGCCTTAGCCAACGGCAGCTCATTAGACCCCTGAAGAGGCCAGTCATGTCTGTCTCTTCCCTCCTAAACCCGGACCCTCAACCCCTCAAGCAGCCCACAGCAAGTGTAGTGCAGCCCAAGGATGCTTGCAGGCTTCACAGAGAGGCTTTTCACGTCGGGTAGCCTGCTTCCTGGGGTGAGACCGCTTCTTGGATCTGTTGAAGGTGAGACGGAAGTCTGAAGCGCAAGTGCACAACATAGGGGCCTTAATAATTAGAACAGGGTTTTGGGGCCCATTGTAAAGGAACCCCCAGAATAGCATTGGTAAGTATTTAGGCGGCTACATTACATCCCCGAAATCTGTCTTCCGGTCGCACATGTGTCTTAAGTTTGTGCCTGGGGTGATAATTCAGGTAGACAGCTAGGCTGCAACATTTCAAGACCTCATTGCACCTGCTCCAGCCAGTGACGTAACCTTGGAAGAAGGGTCAAGACAAGGTCACAAAGCCATGCTCGAGTCTATGCGACGTTCTTTGCAAGGGGCTCCTTCACCCCCCCCCGCCACAACCTCTCTTCTTTTATGCACAATGGGCATGATGACATGATCAAAAGAACCCGTCTGCTGCTTTGCTGTTCGACTCGATGGGCCTGAACGGTTTAGGGTTTAGCGGTTTGGCGTGTGGGGTGTAGGGTTTGCGGTTGAGTTTAGGGTTTCCTTAACCTCTAAACCCTTCAACCCTACACCCTAAACCTCGCCTACCAGCAAATACTCGAGTTGAAGCTTACACTACCAAGCCCCAAACCCTCCACTATCTTAACCCTTAACCCTAAACCCTGAACCCTAAGCCCTAAACCTTGGTTGCACAGCATGCTATCAGGACTCAGCTTCCTCACAGGGTCTTGCGTATTGAAGTCGGCTTTGGGGTAGTATGCTACAGTCTTGTGAAAAAAGGTGCTAAACAGTACGGTTTAGCGTTTAGGGTTTAGGGTTTAGGGCTAGGGTTGGAAGGGCAGACGATGATACTAGTTAAAATTGAGACTCCAGTATTAGTTCTGAACCTGCAACCCTGCTCTGGGCCCGCGGCACAAGAATGGCTCATGGCCTATGCGGAGGATGGGCCACAAAGCATCAGATATGGCACAATCAAGTATCAAATACATGAAATATATACAGTATACAATTAATTTATGAGCCGCTGCGTTTATTTACGGCCTAGGCTGATTGTGGTATGTCGAAGCGGTGCCCCTATCTCGTTCATCATGTTAAGTACTGGCAGAAATTCTTGATCTCGTTCAAACATCGTTAGTAGCAGCCCTTTAACTCTTACAGCCATACATGTACCTGATCTCGTTTTATGCGGTGGCCCTGTCTCGTTCCCCTCTTAGAGAAAGTTTTGACAAATAAATTACCGCACGGAGGTATCTACTTTCAAAAGAGCATAGTATTGACGTAAATAAAAGCCGTCGCTCATATGAATGCCACACCACCATTACTACCTCGGAACCCGTTGGTAGACACGTTCATCTTCACAAGATGCGCCGACGCCTGAGATCTCCGCTTCTACCCCTGGGCTCGAGTGCAAAGATACAACATGGCACTTCCCCTACGAAAAGTTAACCCTAAACCCTAAACCTTAAGCTCATAAAGGGAACACAAGCAGATCCCCAAAAGCTAGTTCTGAGAGCCAAGCTGGGTGCCAAGGAGGATGTTATATCCCAAGTGACAAGGCACTCAGGCTTCAGGGTCTGGTATTGCCAGGTAGTGCTATTCGGGCTGGTACCTGAAACATCGTTGCAGGTTGTGATGATGGTGTGCGAGAGTGGTCCGGCGAATTCCACCACCGGCTCAAAGCCCTCATGTCGTCACATTCACCCCAAACGACTATCGGAGAAAACAGAGACTACTTTATCGCAGCAACCACCGTAAACACGCATATTGCATGTTTCTTTCTGTTTTGACTATAGTCTTCTTCGTTAAACTTACACGTATACAGAAAGCGTCCTGCTTGAGGTGCCAGGGGCAATGGAGTGTTACGCCTTTGGTTTCAAGATTGAAACCAGCATTAGAATTTCGGTCGCCATTTCTTATGCTTGGAGTCTCCAAAGCAGCTTATGCGAATCCCTAAACCCTAAGCCCGACTCCCTGGCAAGAGCAAGAAGCGTGTGCATGCAGCCCGCCTCGAGCTGCTGCAGCGCCTCTGAAGGCTCCAAGACTAAGAGAATGCAAGAACCTCACTGATAATTAGTAACAACGATCATGAGAATCATCGTCATCATGGCTCCTGTATGCACATGTTCTTATCAAATAGCAGCGCCACTATGATCATCGTCGCGGTAATCGATATCCTCATCATTACTTGTGCATATACACGTGGTGCAGCTACACCTGCACGAGGGTCTTATATCAAAAGCCACGTCTGGGAGGAAGCGCACGCAGGGTCCGGTAACATATACATCGGTCAACGCCTGTGTTCGAAGCCCAAAGCTAAACCCTGAACCCTAAACCCCTAAATCCTAAACCCCAAAACCGTAAATCCTAAAGTTGAGCGGCTTTCGCTCGTCCCGTTCACGAGGGCTTACATCTAAACGAGGTTTCATATGAACCATACTACGTAGTAGCAATAAGACATGCGAAACTCATGATAATTATCATGATTACTTGACTTTTATTCATGTACTAGTAAATATAACTCTACGATTTTTTGTTGTCCTTGTTATGAACAGTGTCCTTAAAATATAAACTATTTCTATCGATGTTTATCGTTGCCATTAATTACCGCAAAAACTCATAGTTTGGTTTCCTAAACCCTAAACCCTAAACCGGCCTGTGAGTGTCGATGTTCTGCGGAGCTGCCCTCGATGGCCGCAGCTCTGACGTGAGCACCTTCCAACCGGCTGTGTTTGTCTTTGCACTCTCAGCTGGAATGAATGAATACATACATACATACATACATACATACATACATACATACACATATACATATACATATATATATATATAATTATAATTATATATATATATGTATATATATATGTGTATATATATATACATATATATGTATGCATATGCCCGCCCCCACCCCATGATCCACCATCGGTGGGTCTGGGGAGTGGGGGGGAACTCGCATAGTGCAACTGAAAGTGTTACAAGCCGGAAGCCTCCTGCTGCGGTGTTGTACCGTACGATATGCGATGTCGTGTCTTCTACTGTGTTTTCATGTATACTAAGGTCCTTAAACGTCATGCCCTTGGACTGAAAGCTCATATTCCCTTGCTTCGGAGCTTGAGGTTTAGGATCAGTGTTTAAGCGATGTAAACGGGGCTGAATAATTAGAATAGGTCTTTATTAACATAGTCATGGAAGACGATTAGGGGATGTTGTTGCTCATGATTCAAGCTTCTACATCGAGTTGCTGTTTAATTGATGTACACTCCTATTCCTCGTTGTATATAACTACTTTGACTCAGTTTGGGGTGGATTTGTGAGTTTCTGACATAGCCAAGACATCGGTATTTACGGTGGCTTCTATGTGTTTTACATATCGAAGAAAGACGGAGGTGGATCAATGGGGGGGGGGGGTACCATATATATCTTTGTATACATACATGTACATACATACACATACACACATATACCAGATTTGATATGTAGGTGTATATGTACATATTCTGAAGGTAAGAATGTGCAGTATAATTTAATATAGATAGTTAGATAGTTAGATAGATAGATAGATAAATAGATAGAAAGATAGATAGCTAGCTATATAGATAGTGAGACAGATAGATATGCGTGTGCAATTAGGCTTAGAGTTTTTGGTATGGGTTAATTTTACAGATGCACACACACACACATATATATATACATATAAGTTAGTTAATGCATGTATGTATTATATATATATATACACATGTACGCACACATTTTTCTCCACATCTCTGAACCATTAAAAATTAGTATGCCTTGCTACATATGTACACATGCACTTGCACAGACAAGTCGAAGGCGTCGTTTGCACTTCCAGCTCCGCCGACAACATATGACTGCCATGGTAGTGAGGAGAACCAGTGAGTTGAGATCAGCTGAAACATCTTGACCTGTTGAGTCTCTGCGTCGCTGAATCCCCACGCGAGATGTATTCGCTGCTCTCTGCACTAGTCTTTGAAGCTTCGGATCCACCGATAAATACGCATGCGCTGACCAACATGGGCAAGTTTGCAGCACGCTTCTGCAGCGTTTCTTGTATTTTGCATCCTACTCTGAAGCGTACATCCTGACTGTGAATGACATATCTGTGCACCCGTGCGATCCAACCATGCTGGCGATCTGCAGATTGATTTCTAGGGTGACACTGCTGTGACGTTGCGCGTTTGTGAACTGAAACTCGTCAGTGCCAGACCAGACTCAGACTGCCAAACCGTTACAGTTTCAAACTCCGAGAAAAGCCGGCATGGCCTGGATCTTGCTGCGACGCCTCCATGGTAGCAAGCCAATGCAAGGACAGCTCCCAAAGGCCACCTGCTGGAAAAGCTAAATATGTATGGGCGTAGCTGCACGCTGTAGGAACGCGGTTGGAACGCCGGGTGCAGAACAACTTCGGCTGCCGCCAAGCGGCAGTACAATTCTGATGGGTAGCACTCTGGCCTTTTTTTTTCTGAAGTAAGCGCCAGGAAGTTTAACACGCGCTTCCCAAAGGGGTCACGGAAGCAAGATACAGAAGCAGTCGTAGTCGCATAGTCGGTAGTCAGTAGTCGGTAGACGTCGTGGTCGCAGTCGGCGTCGCAGGCACACCCGCACTCGCACTCGTAGTAGTCTCGTAGTCGTAGCCGTAGTCGTAGCCGTAGTCGTAGCCGTAGCAGTAGCCGTAGTCGTAGCAGCAGCCGCAGCGCTGCTGGTGGTAGTAGTAGTAGTAGTAGTAGTACTACTACTACTACTAGCAGCAGCAGTAGGAGTAGTAGGTAGTACGTAGTAAGTAGTAATTAGCCTATAGCACTAGCAGCAGCAGTAGTAAGTAGTACACTCCCGACACCTGAGCTGGTGCCACAAACCCAGGACTCTCACTCAGGGGGAATGCAACCATGACACTTGCAAGACTGCACAGATGACCTTAACTACCTACTTAGAAAAGGCGGTTGGGGGTGTAGCACAGCTGTTTGTTTGGAAATTGGCTTGTGCGCAGCATCAGGCCTCGCTGACATGCCAAGGATACCTCATGCAAATGACTTTCGGAGTTCAGCTGACACTACTTTGACTAAGGCTCCATAATAAACCACAAAAGCCCATCGTATCGTGTAGCATACATCCATCCTGTCTGGAAACGTTTCGAGCTTGATTAGGACTCAACATCAGCGGGGCGCAAACTCATATGCGGTAAGGACGATGATTGCAGGTTCATGTGTTCTGCCTTTGAAGTCGCGTGCAAGCCTGGACAACAATGCCTGGCACAAATCGCAAGATCAGCCTAGAGAAGTTACTTTGACTTGGGATGAATCCTTCACATTTTGCAAGGACCTCGCTGCGGCTGCTGCCGTTTTCGAGGGAAGCCAATCCGGAGCTCTTTGTTGTGAAGCTTTCCAGGTTGAGCTTCTACGCCACGGATGCCCCTGGCCTCTCCCTGGCTCGCAGCTACCAACAACGACACCTACTCACCCTAGTCCCTAAAGCCCGGAAGAAGAGTTGTAGAAACTCCGAAGTCTCAAGCCGCCGAGCCGTAAGCATCGCATTCATCATGCAGCATCTCAGTGGCCGGCCAAGCGCTGTATCATCAGATCTTGCTTTAACTCGCCTCGCTCCTCGCCGGACAGATCACCAGGCAAAGTGCATGCAACACACTTCCGAAGTTGCCCGGACTTGACCAGTAATAAATTTAAAGGAATTCCAAGAACAAAAGGTGGTGAATTTATTTTTAATTAAACAAAGAGAGCACGCAGTCATTCATTCCTTTGTCTCTTCTTTGCTTTAATTCAACTAAATTCATTACACATTAGGTTAACAGGGTTTACAAGTGTATCCTACAGGTAACTCATAAGCTCCTAAGAAATCCATGATAAATTCCAAGAAAATGCAGCAAAAAATGAATTCATAATCCAAAAATTCGGTCCTTTGGCATATTATTTTACAGGAGTTCCAGTTCATTCGGTTATAATTGTGACCAAAGGACGAAATCTCCTTGCGAATAAAGTATTTTGGTAGGTTAATCTATGCTGTAGGAAAAGACTAGAAGGATATGATGTAGAATGAAATGACTTAGAGATTGTAATGGTTAATCTACGTTAAATCATCAACATGTGCGGAATGAACAGGTTTAGTCTGTATCCCGACTACACGATCGCGCCGATCGCATCTGCCCATCTCATCTATGCGCTACCTCAGAACAACAAGCCCCACATGTCTCGTAATTAACGTCTCAACCCGAATTGTTTCATGCTGGCATGGGAGCTGAAGCGGCATGTCATCCTTCACCAGACACAGGATCTGCTGCCACTGCCCCGTGCGTTCCATCGAAGCGGCCTTATCACGCCGATCATATGATGACTATCGGGGCCTAAGAAATGTACCATGGAATTTGGCATCACGGTATATATTCGACGAAGGATATGATAAGGAACCCCTGGGAGATGAATTAGCAATGATGTAGCCTCCCAGGTGAGGGGCAACTCGAGAATCTCCCGATCGCCTGCTGTTCTACGAATGCGAGTCCAACAGACCACCCGGGTACGATTGCAAGGGGAATGAGAAGCTTGTTTAGTGTTTGCAGTTCTGCTCCTCCTAAACCCTAAACCCTTCTCATGTCGCCTCCGATGCTGAACTTGATAGCCTTGCAGACGGTTCGAGTACAAGTATGCGTTTAAGCTTTTTGTAGACCGGGGGAGGTGAAGGGCTGAAGCGCTGTGAAGCGAACAAGCAACAGTAATCACGATCTTTTGACACACCAGCCGAGTCAGCTCTGGTCGAAAATGAGTTGCTCATGAGATGACAGCTGAGTGTCCTCAGCAGATTACTGTTCGAGGCTGCGACTCATGCTTGCATCGTCCGACATGACGATATCCACGGTTGTAAACTTCACAAGGAAGATCATGGTATAGCCATACTGGACGTGTAGCTGAGGGTCAACAAAGGGTCCCAAGACTTGTTCCTTGTGGCCTTAAGGCTTCAATACCATGGGAATCTGAGTGAAAAACTGCAACTTTTCAGAAGGTCATGTTTGGAAACATCGCATGTTCAGGCCCGTATCTTAGGGCCCCAAATCCTCGAAGGTCACAGCCTTCCCCACACCACAAGTCCCCAACGTTTAACTTCGCAAGGCCATTCAAACCAACGCAGCTGGACAAGAGCCAGGCAAGTGCGATAAAGGTGTTAACATCCGGCTCCAATCTCATCTCCTTCCGGGGGGCTAAACACACTCTGTCAAGCATGGAATGATTTATGCAGCATCCCGAAAAACGACAACCTAGCATATATGCTGTGATCCAACCTGCGTGCCCAGAAGCTCAACCCACACGATCCTTGACCTTTCAAAGAACAAGAACCACGACTGTGCCGAACGTCCCCACCCTACAGGAGTAAGAAAGCAGATGATGGAATAAGGAGAATAGCTGCCGTAATATCTGACACGCTCCACCGAGGGCGGGGAAAGATCAACGTCAGAAAATAGTTGTGTTGGGTCACTTTCGTGGGGTCGCGATCAGTCTCGGCTTATCTCGAAGTCCAAAAGGTGGCAATCTTCATCTAAATCATACAAGTAAGTCATAATCATAATCATAGACATGACATTTGTAGTTCTTAAGGAAACCAGGAATACTAATAATAACAATGACAATAATCATAGTCATAGAAAGAATATTTCTAATTCTTAGTTACATCCTCCATGTCGAGATCCGGAGGGGTTTACGCCTTCACTCAGAGTCTTCAAGGACTGCATTCTTCGTGTGTCAAGCTCGGCCCGGTTGAATCTGACTTCAGGGTTTAGGGTTTATATAGATCTTATTCAGTCCGTTGGGCGCTTGAAAAGCATGGAGACCGCCCCACGAAAGCACGTTATGACATGTTTGTGGGTACATCTTGTTTCTCTCCTAAGACTGAAAAAAAAGCTGTAAAATCACAGACACCACCCCACTAAATTTCATATAAAGCCAATGAAAAACTTATGATCACATCAATGAGTCTTAGAGTTGATTGTCGTCCGTGTGCCCGATAGGGCGAGGGCGTAGCCGAGTGCAACAGCGAAGATGCCTAAAGTTTCTGGTGGACATCTCAAAAATCCACCACGGTTCCGAAGGCCGGTTTTGGGGTTTTAATATAGGCGGCAAATTAAATCTTGATACTGATATTTATATTTCTATATATATATATGTATATAACATATATATATATATTTATTTATTTATTTATCTATTTATACTTATACTCGTAAGTATATTTATGATACTGTTTTCGGTGCTACAACATCGAGAGCATGTCCCCCTCGACCTCCCTCCTTGCCCCGCGACAGAAAACGGGTAGGGGGGGTGGGGCGTGTTTGGGGTCAGCTCATTATCTGCTTTCATGTGCTTTGCATGTTGCCTGTCTTTACGCGGTTGTTCTCTGTCGTTTGGTTTACGGCTGGCTGTTTAGGAAATTTAGAGTCAGCTTAGGTGTTCGAATCGGTGTGTTTTGTTGACGTCTTACTTGTCTTTGTTTTAGGTACCTGCGTGCTGTTTTTTTTTTGATGTCTTCATGTGTCTTTGTTGGCACCATGCTATAGAAGACCTTCAGCGATCTAAACTGCGGAGATGTGAGGCTGCATGAGAAAGTCCAACTAAAACACGAAGTTGAAGCGTAGTTAGTTACAACATTTAGTGGAGCTGAGCCCGTTTGTGCTTCCTTTTTGGGGTGCCCCGCAGCACAACAACCTGACCCCATACCGTAAATAGGTATCACCTGCGGTCTTCTGCGACTCGACTGCACATGCAGACCAGAACCCCGCCTACCTAGCACCCCAAGCCCTGGAAGCCGAAAGGAAACAACACACGACCAAAGCACGAGAGCTTTGGGGCAAAGGGTTAGGTTGGGGCTTCTTCGGGTTCGGGCAGCTAGGCGACTGGCCTTCATCAGAGATGCCAGGTGGGTCGCCTCGCACCATCTGTCTTCCTGGCAAGTCGCAGTGGGATGCCAGAGGGTTAGGATTTAGCGCGGAGATTTTGTTCATATATTTACGTCGATTTGCATCACCGACTGTCACAACTGATGTCAAGATCTCTGAGAGGACCCCTGCCTTTTTGCAGGCGTTGATGACAGCGTTGAAGGCCATAATATCCGGTAGCCTCAGGTGGGCCGATCCATGCTCTAGCAGCCAGTTGAGACTGGGCTGTGACACGAATCGCATAATCTGTTAAACCGTGTATGAAACCCTTAGCCTAAACCCCTAAACCCTAAATCAATTTCAGGCATAGATACTGAAGTCAATTAATGGACTACAGGGAGCTTTTCTCACATGTTATTGAGACGTGTATATTGCTTGACTCAAGTCTTCACCCTCCGGAAACAACAAAAACCACACACCGAGACAAGATGAGAGTGAGGGCGTGGGGGGGGGGGGGGTATCCGTCTGTTCCACTCGTTCCGCTCCACTCTCTCTGACCGCTCCACGCGTTCCACTCGTGCCACTCGCCCCGACCATTCCACTCGTTCCACTCGCTCCACTCGCCCTGTATGTTACCTGCTCCACTCATCCCTTTTGGCTGCAGCGCCAGTGGGGAGTGGCGCGAGTGGCGCGAGGGACGCGAGTGGCGTGAGTAGCGCAAGTGGCGCGGACGGCTTCAATTCCTCACCCCCTCCCTTGTGCCGTCGCACTGTTCGATTCTGGGGGTGCCAATGAATCAATGTTCCAATGGTTCCACTCGCTCCACTCGCCCTGTGACCTGTTCCACTCGTCCCTGTTGCCTTGCTATGGCGCGATGGGCGAGTGACGCGAGTGGCGTGGACGACTTTAATTTCCCCCCCCCCCCCACGGTCCCAATCCACAAGATGGAAGAGGATCATCGCTTGCGTGCAGATAGCAGACCTCAGCATTGACCCTACACTCCACCGAACCATAGCAATCTCAGCTCTGAACCGACGCGACGAAGTACTGGAACCCGACAAACCGACATCAGACCACCCCAACACCCTAATGTAGGGGCCTTAGTTGTTATGTAGTAATGGTACTATAACTAAAATAAGAAACCCCCGCAAAATAGTATTGGTATTTATTTTGGCCCCTATATTAAACCCTAAACCGAGTTAGGGACTGTGCAGACTTCAGGAGTTCGGCGAAGAGCCCGATGGCACGCTGCCACTGGAGGCCCTGTGGTTGGGGAGGGGGTTTAGGTTTAGGGGTTTAAGCTTTCGGGTCGGGCGCTACTGTAGTTCTGGTCTGGATGCATGCCAAGATGCTCAAGTGGAAGCTCTGACTGGCCCTGCACGTTTAGCTAGTAGAAGCATAAACGGACCAAAAGCAACCCAAAGACGTCAGCTAGAAAAGATGACTCGTGATGGAGGTCACCAACAAGAAACTTATTGAACTGCTGCTGAATCATAAAGCCACGATAAGATTTTTAAAGTAACGTTGTTCACCTGTCGTGGCTGCTTCGTGTCCAGGAATATCCTAATTAAATACAGTCAATAGAGTCTAGACCACAAGTGGTAAATTACAGAGGTCTAAACTGCCCAAACCCGTCCATGGAAAGTTAGAACCAGGTTCTGGGGCAAATGACCATATTCTTAGATACTGGCTTAGGGTTTAGGGTTTGGGGTTTTTGTCGTATTCTGATGTGTATATACCTATATAGACCTAGAAAGATAATGTATGTTTTTATATATGCATATCGACTCAGGGTTTACTGGATCGGTTTAGGGTTTAGGCTTCTTGGGTATATTATTGTACTTTTACATATCAGGACGACCAAGGCACGTTCAAACAAATATGTTCCGGCCCCCTATTGTCAACCGCATCTCAGCGAGCGCTGACTCGCATAAAGAGCCGACTAACACTGAACATGCGGTGGACTCTGTTTCCTATAGGGGCCTGATGTTTACCAATACTGTACCTTTGGGCCCTCATTGTGTATACTACATTCTTAAAATACACCCCACAACCCTATTTTGAGTACATGTCTGGTGCGGCACAGTTTGCTGCCTTTCAACATAGTGATTTCGATGAGCACCCCTGAATTAATCACTTCCACTAGCCGTAGTCTTGCAAAACAGGATTTTGGTTGTACCATCATTTATGTTGATGGCAGTTATTGCTAGGATTTTTGACGCCGTACAAAGCTAGCTCGTGCTTTGCCAGTAGTGGCAGGCCCTGCAGCATGAATGCTGCTACTCCACTCCCTAAACCCTAAACCCTACAACTTCAAGACCTAAACCTCGCAGCCTTTTCACAGGCACTGATGCCAGCGCTGTAGGTGACAACCTGGAGCCCAATGTAAAGGCTTCGTGCATGTCGACACGATCTATGTCTGCCGGACTTTCCTGCGTACAACAGCGATGAGATAGGCTAGATAGGTAGGTGTAGACACAAAAAGTCTCGGATAGGTTCAGATGAATATAGTAGGGAAAGCGTAGGGTTCAGGGCTACAGCACATGCCACAAATTTGGAACATCATCAGTCTCCATAGCCGTGAGGAAGAATCCCAGCACATCTCCGAATCTCCGAACTTTCTGTAGTCCGAGTTAAGCAGGAAAGGGTTCCACCACACACATTTGGATAGCTTCCATGTTGGTATAGGGGCCTTAGTAGTTACTTAGAGCTTGTGCATATAGTAGAGTGTGATCTTGTGCAGGAACCCCAAGAGATAGTAGTTGCAATTATCTAAGCCCCTAAACCCTAAACCCCTAAACCCGAAACTCCTGAACCCTAAACCCTAGATTAAGTTCACCATGCAATAATGTGTAATATGCATAACCTCATGATTATAAGGATCCACGATCTGGGGGCCTGGGGGGGGCCGTAATAGCTAGAATAGGGTTNNCCCCCCCCCCCCCCCGCCTAATGACGCAACAGCGACAACCTTACAGTTACCATGCTTTCCCGAGGCCGTAAGCCCGTAACTCCAGAGGTTCAGACCTTCCCCACCCACATGTTGGTCGGACGGACCCCGATTGTTCAGCATCTCGGCCCGAGCCCCGGGCATCCCTCTCCACGTCTGTCTGCGACATCTCCTCATGCGGAATCAGAGATTCTTGGTATGCAGCCTTGGGAAAACAAGTCAACCCTCCCTGAAAACCCATTGAGTTCAAGCGGTTGTTAGCCTTACATAACAATATGAATAGGTTTCGGTGTACAGCATAGTATAATTGTACACAGGCCCCCTAAGGCATAACGACGAACGACCCAGAATTGCTGTTGCAATACGGACTCGAAGCTGGCAATTAGGAACGAAGAAAGCAAAAGCCGTCGGCCGCTCAATTTTGCAACACATGTCTGAATAGCGCGGCTTGAAACCTTGCAACAGGATGCTCGCCGACGGACGTCTGACCACGCATGTGTGTGTGCGCGCACATATATACATATCTATATATGTATATAGATATGAATATGTATATCTATACATATGTTACTTGTGTATACATATATGCAAAATATACATAGGTACATCTGTTTGTTTGTTTACATGACTTGTACCTATCTGTGTTTATATATATAGTACAGTGATGTCTCTCTCTCTCTCTCTCTCTGTCCGTTTAAACTGCAAACGTAGAGTTGAGCCGGATCCCCTTTGCCAAGGCATCTGAGCAGATGAAGATTGTTTGAGAAAGTGCCAGGCCTATAAACTCTCGACCAAAAGGCCTATAAAGACCTACCAAAACAAGAGCAACTAAAACCCACAGAATACGTTTTAAGCGGAAAACTTCCAAATCGGCTGGGTGTCGAAGATCAAAGCCAAAGCCATCTGCCACCGCTTGCCCTGGCAATATAATTGCGAAAAAGCTTAGAGCAGGAATCCTTTCCAGCCTACAAGGGTTTCGTATGAGGACTTGGGAACTAGAACAGGGTTATAGTATATCATGCTGGAAAGACGCATAATAAGGAACACTAAGGGACAGTATTGGAGTATTGGTACCGTTCCTGGATCCAACAAGCGGCATCGAACTCGTTCGGTTTAGGGCTTAGGATGGCTTAGGGAGGGTTTAGGAGAAGTTGTGGGTAGTTTCAGGATTGGATCGCAGGTTCGGCCCAGGGTGTATTTAGCCAGAGAGGTATCTGAATTAAAGCCGCGTGAAGCGTGGCAAGCCTCACTAGGTGGGTAGGGTTGCAGTTCCTTGGCGGAAATTGTTTACGATTCTGCCGGTACGTCGATCTCACTCTTGATCGCGGGTAAAAGGCTTTGTCGAAAGGTTCCATGGGTTCTTCTGCAATCAAAGCTTGCGTGAGTTGTGTGTAGGTTTGACTTCGAATCCCCCCGTCTTGATTTCCATATAGGTTCTGTTCTTGTTATGTTTGCTTTTGTCACGATTATATTTTATTGCTCTCATTATTGTTATTGTTGTTATTACTGTTGCTAGGTACGAGTGTTATGAGTAGTTATTCGTGCTTTTATGGTGCCCTTTCGAACCGCAAAGCTGCAAACAATCAAACCCACAAACAAATGCAGTAATAAACCGTTGCACAGGTTCAGACTTTCTTAGTCCAATCCAGGCTTGACATGTCGGTTTACTTTGCCAGATTTAGGGACCAACCCCTTCTTGCATGGATACCTTCAAAAATTGACATCTCCCGCATGCGACAACGATCCGAACGACCCTCACCCGAACATAAAGGTCTGAATAGGAATAACGAACGAATGTAGTACGAATCCTCCTTTATAGCCCCTCTCGCTCTCTCTCTCTCTCTCTCTCTCTCTATATATATATATATGTTCAATATACGTGCACGTCCTGCAAAATAAATAGCAAGGCCCAAGACCCTACTCTTGCAATTCGAGCCCCTCATAAACAGCCATCCTGGGACTCAGACGACTCAGACACCACAAAAAGCTTCGGAAGAACGTAGAGAGCTTCACTCGAAACCGGATCTCTGTCGGAACACTGAGGCCATGAGGGTTGCTGCAAAAGGAATGCAGTGCGAAGCTGGGCAATGTCGGGCCCTCAACACAGCAAATAGCAAGTGGGTGTATATTCAAGTCTCATGTGAACCCTAAAGAAGAATGTCGGCAATTTGGTAGGCTTCTCTTTCGGTTTCTGCCAGAAAATTCCACAAAGCTGATGAATTTACAGACCCTCTGCGTTCCTTGAGCCAGCATGACGCCAGTTCGCAAATCTTGGGCC